CTGAAAGAGCTGCGGAGCTGGCCTACCATAGACAACTGCATCTCCCCTCGACGCTTAACGGCAACAGAGGATGGACAAGTAAAACATTAAAAAAGTAAAAGTAAAAAGTAAAGCAATACTACTCTCTGGTAATACTTTAGTTTCTCAGAGGGATAACCTACACTTTGAAAAGACAAGCCCAGCCATCATAGGGTGACTTCCCCTTAGTTCAACAAAACTTTCAAATCCTTCTACTGTTCTACTCTGCGAAGTTGGCGTTTTTTTCGGCATCTATTCAACCAAGGATACAAATCAGGAATGGAAGCCAAAAACCTTTATTGTGTCTGCTTTTTTTCCTTAAATCTTTTAATCTCCTAAGACTGATGACTTTCCAACGGACTCTCTTTTTACAAACATCTGTTACGATTTCTGGTTTTCAAACTACTACAACTTTAAATCTGATTGGACTCTTATTGAAAGCTTTGTCATTCATAAAGGGTGCTGACAGAGTAGGCTACATCACGGATTGCAGACCACTATGAACATAGATACGTCAAAAGTATATATACTAGATAAAAGATATATACTAGATTTAGTTTGTACAACTCACCGTAACACCACAACAGTACTCACAAACAGTACTCACAAACAGTACTCACAAACAGTACTCACAAACAGTACTCACAAACAGTACTCACCATAGCACCACAACAGTACTCACAAACAGTACTCACCATAGGACATAGCACATAGCACATAGCACACAACATAACTCACCATAACACCAGCAGACAGCGATCACTTCAAAGATAACGAGGATCATGAGTGACAGAGCAGCAGCGTAGTAGTCGATCAGTTGGAAGAAATAGAAGCCGCCCTGGAAAAACAACAAGACACAATACAATCCCTGTTCTAAGTATAGTTTAGTTTTAGCAGAAGAACAACATTGCAGAGAATACAATCCCTGTCTAAACATTTTTTACTGATGAAAATGATCAACTTCAAAGACCACAATTTTGTACAACACTAAAATGTGAGGCAGCGTGGTGAAATCAGGCGCTCGTCAAAATAATGAAATTGAAGAAACTGGCATTTTTCTGGCAGCTTGGCAATTTTTATAAAATTTGTGTTTTTTGGCTTAACACCACTGCTGCCCAATTAAGAACACTTTTCTGGGTGAGTTTTACTGAAAAACGACATCTATGGGGGTTTTTTTCACTGA